TGTCATAATTTCCTGAGTTATAATTTGGCAAAGGCCGTTTCATACCCAGTGACTGTTTTCCTGAGTGCTCTCCAGGGTGGTGGCCAGGCAGAGGTGTGGTCAAGCTGGGAGGTGGGATGGTTCCAGCCTGGCTGCTTCTTCCTTCCCAGAGGGACGAAACGGTCATCCTCCTCCCTCTGTAGTGTTTTCCCCTGCATTTTGCTCCTTCTACTATGTGTGGATGTGTTGGGATAAGATAGGGTGAGATGAGCACCGGGAAAGGGGGCTGGCAAGAGGAAGGGAACCCTGTCCGTTCTCTTCCCCTTCCCGATGATGCTGCCTCTGGAGAAGGTGAGGAAAACTTGCATCCAACAGGCTGCAGGCTCCTGGGGCGAGAACTTTCTGCTTTTCTCGGACTCTGTATGACTGATGTGAAAACATTGAGCTTCCTGAGCCTGCTTGCCCTCTGGGTAGTCTAACGGCTCTGATGATAAAATAAGTGTAGAGGCACTGAAGTAAAGAATTTGCAATAAAAAAGAAAATGAAAAATGGAAGCCATAAGAGAAATGAGTATTGGATCAATTGTGAAGAATGGGAAATGTCAAGGCACTTGATAATTTTTCTGCTAACAGACATTGTGAAGATGGAAGTTTCCATGGTTTTCTTTGCCTATGTTTTCTTTTGCTATTGTCATGAGATCTAGGGGCATGAGGGATTTGTCATTTGAGTGTTATATTGTAACAAAAAGCAAGGCAGAAGTACAGAAACCACTTCAACGAGAGTATGAACACAATAGGAGGTTTTGCTACCTTGAATTAGATGTTGAATTGCTACTCTCTGAACTTTATTTTCTATATACAAAGCTTTAAATGCAATCATTTAATTATTCGTTGAAAGTTTATATTAGCAACATTTAGTGTGCACCTGCTATATATAAAGTATCCCACTAGGTACTATTCATCAAATTAAACCCAGCTATTTAGTTATGAAAATAAACCATGGCCCACATGCCCTGTGAAGCCCTGTTAAAAGCAAGCAACATGCCCAAGAAAATATATTTCCTTTGAATTTCACAGAAATCTTAGTTTGGGGAAGAAAAATCAAGAGTTTTTGTTATAAGCCAGTATGTGCATCCTCTGAAACAGTTAATGTAGAGAACAGAGGTAGTGGCCATAACTGAAATAAGGAGATAGTGAGTGAGTGTGTGTGTGACCTAATTCAAGTTTGGTGGTCCAAGTGGTATTTTTCCTGGCCTGTAAAAATTCCAGGTATTTGCAAAACTGTTCTAAATAGTAATGTAATAGAAGTTTTTATAAAATTGAGTTAGTGCATATGTTTGGACTCTGTTTCTCCCTCTTTTGGTTACTATATATGGTTCTAATTTCCAGCTGTGCAGTTACTATTGTAAATTCTCAACATTTAAAAAAATTTTCAGATTTAAATGTATTGATATGTAATTTTTACATATTTAAGGGGTACATGTGAATTCTCAACAATTAATATTAAATAAAAGGAGAAGATTCTGTTCTATCCCAGATTAGAAATACCTTAGAATTTCTATTTGGGTCTATTTTCCTCCATTCCATTATTTTCTTCCTCTTCATACCACATTTATATACATCTTACCATTTATTTATATTTATTTAATACTTTACTTCATGAAAGTTAGTATTGTTCTGGAATCAGAAAGCCCTTCTAGCTAGTCTGTCTTGCCAGGTCTTTCTGATTCTTCTCCCTCAGGAAGCAAGTGGTGGTGACCACGTCGACATAGGAGATTTCCCGTCTGACTCCTCCCACCATCTCTGTAGGTCACAGAACGTCACGTCAACTGGCTCTCTTCAGACTGTGGTCAACTGGAAAATCCAGTCAGAGTTCAGAAGGGTGGGAAAATGAACCTAGAAAGTCTAATGTGGAGAAAGCCTTAAAATATATCCTTCATGTTCCACAGTAGTGATTCTTTTCTTTGGCGACACTGCAATGTAAATAGGTATTCTTGGCTAGTTCATCTGCAGGCAGCACCATCTTGGCATTTACACTCTACAGAAAAGGTACCTGAGGAGAAAGATGGTCCAAGTTACTTGCCACAAATCACACAGATTAACAGCAACACAGTCTGGGTGTATATGTCTAATATATTTCTTTTTTTATTATTTTTATATACAAGTAATGGTTGTTTCTTGTAGAAAAGTTAAAACAATGAAGATGAGCAGGAAGAAAAAAAATACCATCCAGGCACCCAGAAAATAACCATATTAATGTAGACATATCTTCTTCTAATCTTCTAGGTATGTATGTATACATATATGTATATATATACACATGCACACTTTTTTCTAAATTAACCCATATTGACCTATAACCTCCTTTTTTTTTTTTTTTTTTACTTAACAAAATACTGGGAATGTCTTTTTGTGTTTTTAATTCAGCTATTCCGTAGTATTCCATTTTATGATTATAGTGTAATTTAAGTAGCCAGCCCTCTCCTTTTGGACATACATGTTGTGCCAATTGTTGATTACAATAAGTATTTCTGAAATGAACATTCTCATCCATACATCTTGGTGCTGCTTTTTTTTTTTTTTTTTTTCCTATAACCCAGGACAGTGCTGAAGTGCTTCTTTTTTGTTCTTTAATTTCCTCAGTTTTAGTTCCTAAAAGTGGCAATGCTGGGCTGTTGGGTTTACACATGTTTGAGGTTCTGATGCACATGACTAAATTACCCTCCAGAAAAGTTATACTTTAAGTTCTACTTAAGGCTTTCCCACCCTGGGACAGCTAAAGACTGGCCAGAGCTTTGCAACTGCAATGATGTGTTTACCACCTCCCTTATCAGCAATATTTGCAATTAGCCTCCAACCTCGTTCCCGGGATTGTTTCCAGTGAAAATTAGCCATGCCCGGCTAATTTCTGTATTTTTAGTAGAGACAGGGTTTCACCATATTAGTCAAGCTGATCTTGAACTCCTGACCTTGTGATCTGCCCACCTTGGCCTCCCAGAGTGCTGGTTTGGGAATGGTACCTGTGGGTGCACCTGGAGGCATGTTTAGACACCAGCTGAAATCACTTTGGTCTTTCTAGCAAACCTTAACTAATGGGCTCCACTCACAAAGGGTCAACTTCCAAGATTTTAGCTAAGGGCCTCCTATGTTCAGGACAATAATGGAGTTAAAAAAACAAGGCTGCAAGGCTGCCTGGGAGGCGGAGCTTGCAGTGAGCTGAGATCCGGCCACTGCACTCCAGCCTGGGCGACAGAGCGAGACTCCGTCAAAACCAGAAGATATGTGGGCTTAAGCAGATATGTGAATAGCTACCCACATAGGGAAAAAAACCGAAATGAAACAAAAACAAAAACAGAAAATAAGGTGGGAGTCCTTCTTTTACAACCATGGATACGTTTTCTTTTCTTTTTCTTTTTTTTTTTTCTTTTTTTTTTTTGAGACGGGGTCACTCTGTTGCCCAGGCTGGAGTGCAGTGGTTCAATCAGGACTCACTGCATCCTCAATCCCCCAGGCTCAAGCAGTCCTCCACCTCAGTGTCCCAAGTAGCTGGGACTACAAGTATGTGCCACCACACCTGGCCATTTTATTTTTTTTTTTGAAATGGAGTCTTGATCTGTCACCCATGCTGGAGTGCAGTGGTGTGATCTTGGCTGACTGCAACCTCCACCTCCCAGGTTCAAGCAATTCTCCTGCGTCAGCCTTCCGAGTAGCTGGGACTACAGGCAAACACCACTATGCCTGGCTAATTTTTGTATTTTTAGTAGAGACGGGGGTTCACCATATTGGTCAGGCTGGTCTTGAACTCCTGACCTCATGATCTGCCCACCTCAGCCTCCTAAAGTGCTGGGATTACAGGCGTGAGCTACCAGGCCCAGCCTGGCCAATTTTCTTAAATTTATTTTTTGTAGAGATGAGGTCTCACTATGTTGCCTAGGTTGATTTCAAACTCCTGACCTCAAGCGATTCTCCCACCTGGGCCTCCCAAAGTGCTCGGATTACAGGCATGAGCCTCTGTGCCCAGCCAATACCTTTTATTTTCTGAGCATTGTTAAATTCAGGGATGGGTTGCTGAGGGACAATATGACAGATTACACGCGATTTGATGTGTGCTGACTAAGGCCTGTGCATGCCTGCATTTTTTAGTCACGGAATGAACCATACTCAAGTTCAGATTCTAGTCCTGCCGCTTCCTATGTCCTTGACCAAGTGCCTTCACTTATCTGAGACTCACTTTTCCTCATCCATAGTTATTCCAATTGCATTTGGTTGCAGTGAGTAGAAATTAAGTATTTAGGCTGGGTGCAGTGGCTCACACCTGTAATCCCAGCACTTTGGGAGGCCAAGGCAGGTGGATTGCTTGAGCTCAGGATTTCGAGACCAGCCTGGGCAACACGGCAAAACCCTGACTCTACAAAAAATATATAAATTAGCTGGTTGTGGTGGCTCACACCTGTGGTCCCAACTACTTAGGAGGCTAAGATAGAAGGATTACTTGAGCACGGGAGGCAGAGGTTGCAGTGAGCTGAGATAGTCCCATTGCACTGCAGCCTTGTCTTTAAAAAAAAATGGGGGAGGGGGGAGAAATCAAGTATTTAAAGCACTTAAGGACAGCCCCCAGCCCCATGGTAGTGCTTAGCAAGTGTTTGGTGAATGAATGGATTCATGCTCTAGGCTTACTTAGAGTTTAGTTTGCTTTCAGATGGGGTTCTGCTTGCTCACTGTACTTACCACTATATGAGAATTGTATTGTTTATTTTCAAATTTGCCACATATTATCTGTTTCTCCATCAGCACAAAACATTCTCAGGAGGAGAGTTGGTTCCCAGTACCTGAAACAGTGCCTAGCACACAGAAGATGGTGAATTAACATTTGAGGTTATTTCTCACTCACATTCTGTCCAGCAACCCAGTCGTGTTACCAGGAGGCTGTTCAGCACGGAACACTTACCACACCATTCGTTGACCCTCCACTTCCCCCTCTTCCACTTATCACACCATTCCTTGACCTGTGCTTGCTTCCAGCCATCCTCCGTTACCTGAAGAACGACGGGAAGGTCCATTTGGTGGTTTTCAACAACCTGCAGCTGGCAGACGGAAGGCGGCACAGGCTCCTCCTGAGGCTGAGCAATTTGCAGCGAGGGGCCGGCTCCCTAGAGCTCTACCTGGACTGCATCCAGGTGGATTCCATTCACAATCTCCCCAGGGCCTTTGCCGGCCCCTCCCAGAATCCTGAGACCATTGAATTGAGGACTTTCCAGAGGAAGCCACAGGTAGGAACACACAAACCATTCTCTGAAGTGGAAAAATGAGCTGCCGGTGCCTAGGGAGTGCAGAGGAGTGTGCTGAGAAATTCCTGCTGCAGGTCAGTGGGTCTAATGTCGGTTGCACATCAGAATCGCCTGGGGAGCTTGAAAAGCAAGTGCTAGGGGGCTGCCCCTAAGACAAACCGAATCTGAATCTGTCGGGTGGGGCCTAGGTATCAGCACATTTTTAAAACACCAATTCTAATGTGATGCCAAAATTGAGAGCTTGTGCTTTCAATGGTAAGTAGAGACTATGGATACAATTGTAAAGTTGGAAAGGAAGGGCAAAAATAAAAATAACTACCTCAGAGTGATGACGTTATCTATTTTCAGTTTTCTTTAATAAAAATAAAAAAGAATGATTGGAAACTGCCAAGCTGTCGGAACAGCATTTTCACAGGTCTTGTCAGAACATCCACTAACAAAAGGGAGCTTAGCTTAGCTCCATTTGGTCTTAAGACATCATCACCTCTGTCTTCTGTTTTAATCCATGTTGATGGTATTTTTATTATTCTATCATTGCACCTGCTGTAGAAATTGCCACATACATTTCTTTTAGAATTGTGTGCTAGTCAGTGCTTTGTTTTCTATAAAGAACTAGTATTCTTTGTCCTTTCCAATAATGCATAACTGGTTTAAAGTTCCTGAATTTCATCTGTTATATAAGCCTATGTCAAATCAGTAACTATGTTCATCTGCTATGGCCCATATTATTTTTGTCTGCTACCTCTCAATCCTCACTTTCCATTCCCTTTGTTAATTCATTTTATTAATATATGCTTTGGTTACAAGCTACTCTGAGCCCTTTGTACAGAGAAGCAGGGTGTAAGCAATAATTTCCATTGCATGTAGGAATGCTGTACAGTTTTAGATAGCAATATAAAAACTATGAATCTGATCCTAGAAGTTTTGCGCTTGAACAACAGGAAGCATTTTTAATCGGAAATTCCAAGAAAGCTAAAATCCAAGGTTTGGGGTTTTTTTTTTGTTTTTCAGTCATATATATAGAGAGATTTTTTAATGTAGATTTACATATGGAAAAAAATTAATAGAAAGATGTGCTCAACTTTATTTCTGAATCCCCAAAGTAGCACACATAATCAGAATGACAGTCAGAAATTGTGTCACTGCTCATTTCAGAAATTAGTGTTCACCACCAAATAAGTCAATTTCTAAAAGTCAGGACTCAGCCTTGACAAAGTCATCAGAAACTGTACTTACTGGAATTTTCTCAGAAGCTCTACCTCCTTAGACCATCGGTAGTGATCACAGTGGCTCAGTCTCATAGTCACCTACTCATTCATTCAGTCAGTCAACAAATAGGCACATTCTAGGCATTAGTGCTACTGTGGCGGGCAAAGCCAGTCATTGTCCTGACTGCAGAGATTGTAGTCTGATGTCCAATACAGTATGTGTTAAATAGCATATGTTGCCTAAATCTTAGCTAAATCAAAAAGCAGAATTCCTCTGAAAATCCTCAGCTGTGCTCATTTCTATATAAGGATGATGACTTGACCTTGGCAGTTAACATAAACGTTTGGTTGTATATAGATATAATAAAAGTGATTGCAAGCAGAATTCACAAGATAAAAGGGCAAGAAAATTTACTTTTTGACTAACAATGAATAATATCAACCCGAAATGTAAAAATACGATGCCAACTACCTAATGATCATAGAAGATATCATTCATTCTCATAGCCCGAAGAAATCATAGGCTTTGCTAGAACCTTGAGTCAAGACATCCAAAAACTAATACCGTTTAAAATTGGGATTAACACCTTATTTATTGCGATCTAAATTCCATAAACAAATTACAGACAATTCTTAAGAGCTTCCCATCACAAAATAACTCCTTTACCATGTAGGAAAAGAGCTTTTCCTTTTCTCAGCCCTCTTGGTGACAATGCCAGCATTTTCCTAGGCTGCTGGCTACTTACATATTCACTTCAATCAAAAAGATAGGGCTGGCAGGCTTTAGGAAAAAATGTGATCCTACAAAATTATGTAAGATGTCAGAGGGTCCAACGATACAGGACTACTTGATTATGAAAATTGCGTGAGTAGGCAAGCACATTGGCTTTTGAACAGTGTCAGCAATCTGTGGTATGAATGTGATTTCTTCCAGGACTTCTTGGAAGAGCTGAAGCTGGTGGTGAGAGGCTCACTGTTCCAGGTGGCCAGCCTGCAAGACTGCTTCCTGCAGCAGAGCGAGCCGCTGGCTGCCACAGGCACAGGTGTGGGCTCTTGGGCAGTTTGCATACCTTCATCAACACAAACTCCAAAGACCCTGAATAGGCACGGTCCCATCACCAAAAAGTGGGACTGTCAACAGAGCAGCCCAACAAAACGTATCTACGAAAATCAGGCTCTTGAACAAAATCCAGGGCAAGGAGTATTTTCATTAAACTTTTATTTTTATGATTCACATGAATTTAGACTCAAATAGTCAGTGGCATCATTATCATTTTTTTTAGCTGAATTAAAGAAATTACCCCAAATTAAATTCAAATATTCTGGGTTTTTGAATCATCTTGTCTTGATGATTTCCTGGGGAATCTTTTGGTTTTGAGTCACTTAGAAATGACCATCACTGGTTTAAAACTCTTTGCCTTTTGCTGTTCCTACAGGGGACTTTAACCGGCAGTTCTTGGGTCAAATGACACAATTAAACCAACTCCTGGGAGAGGTGAAGGACCTTCTGCGACAGCAGGTAACAAGTGGGGCATATCATCAGAAAAGCCCTGCTCTTCTCAGAGCAGCTCCCCACAAGCTAGTGGAGCTGCAGGCCTGCGCAGGCACGGAGGCGGCCTCTGAGTCAGACCTCCGGGGACCCACGCAGCCCCCCACAGCAGGGCTCCACTGGAAGTTCTCTGGAAATGGGGGCCAAGTTCATGATGAACACACCATGGCTCTAAGCAGAGCGGGAGCCACCAAGGGCTGCTAATGCTACTGTAAGAAGTGTTACAGAGGGCCAGGTGTGGTGCCTCACGCCTGTAATCCCAGCACTTTGGGAGGCTGAGGTGGGCGGATCACAAGGTCAGGAGTTCGAGACCAGCCTGAACAACATGGTGAAACCCCGTCTCTACTAAAAACACAAAAATTAGCCAGGCGTGGTGGTGCGTGCCTGTAATCCCAGCTACTCAGGAGGCTGAGCCAGGAGAATCGCTGGAACCTGGGAGGCAGAGGTTGAAGTGAGCTGAGATTGTGCCACTGCACTCCAGCCTGGACAACAGACTGAGACTGTCTCAAAAAAAAAAAAAAAAAAGTGTTACATAGATAGCTCCACATGGATTCTTTCATTCCTGGATGATTTCAGGCATTCCTTTTCAATCCTTTTCCTCTTCTCATTTTTAAAGGTTAAGGAAACATCATTTTTGCGAAACACCATAGCTGAATGCCAGGCTTGCGGTAAGTGCTTTCCTAGTAATGGGCTCGCCTGAGTCGGATGATGCAGGCTGATGAAGGGCTTGCGGTGAGTCTGTGTTAACCGCAGTTTCTGAAGGTCTACCACATAGTTGGAGGGGAGGGAGGAAAAGTTCAATGGGAAACTAAATTTTGTTTTGTCTTCCGTATATGTTCCTGGCGGTGAATAAGCCTGTGGATGATTGTTTTCCTCTAGGTCCTCTCAAGTTTCAGTCCCCAACCCCAAGCACCGTGGTACCCCCAGCACCCCCTGCACCGCCAACACGCCCACCTCGTCGGTGTGACTCCAACCCATGTTTCCGAGGTGTCCAATGTACCGACAGCAGAGATGGCTTCCAGTGTGGGCCCTGCCCCGAGGGCTACACAGGAAACGGGATCACCTGTATTGATGTGGATGAGGTAAAAGTTCACTTAGACCGGGAGGGAATCCCTAAGGATCCTCCTCACCCTACAGCTTTTGGAAAAAGAAGCCAGGCTGATGATTAAGGACTGACTTGGGCTGTCCTCCAGGCTCCATCAAAACCACTTGCTTGGAGACCCTGAGACACAGGGATGGCGGAAGGAGACATGACCCAAGGTTATGGCTGCATTTGTCATTTTTCGTCGCGTTTCCAACTCTTCTACTGGTCCATTGGCTACAGTGCCGACGTTTCTGCTTTACACGCTGACATTTGCATTGGTTATTTCTCTTAAGCAGTCTGTGCTACAATTTTGTTTTTCCCCCACTTTTGCAAATGTAGAAGGGGAGGATTTTTGTAAGGGTATATTTCAGGAGTCACCATGGATTTCTTCAGGCTTCCTAAAACAAAGGAGTAGAGGGGAATGTCACACCAACAAGGGGGAGGCCCTGTAACCTATTAGTAACTAAACATGCCCAGGGAGGGCCCCGGAGGAGGCACATCCAGCTGTTTGACCGGCTGGCAGAGCCCCAGAAGAGACTGTTTCAACACCATGGTTAGGCAGGCCAGGCCCAGTGGCTCAAGCCTGCAGTCTCAACACTTTGGGAGGCTGAGGTGGGAGGATCACCTGAACTCAGGAGTTTAAGACCAGCCTGGGCAACAAGACAAAACCCTACCTCTACAAAAAATATGATCATTACCGGGGCATGGTGGCATGTGCCTGTGGTCCCAGCTACTCTGGAAGATGAAGTAGGAGGATTGCCTGAGGCAGGAGGTTGACGCTGCAGTGAGCCATGATGGCACCACTGCACTTCAGCCTGGGCACGACCCTGTCTCAAAACAAACAAAAAACATGGTTAGGCAATCATCAGTCTAGTCGCAAAGTAATGTTCATAGCAGGTAGCAAGGCTGCCACCAAAATGTGCCTTCAATGTGCCCTTCTCTTCCCACCCAGCCAGAGGAAGGCTGAAAGGACAAGCGCAGGAAAGAGACACAGGTAGGGAACTTAGGCACACTGGCTCCCTGGGGCTCCTGCAGGCTCTTGGTAACCTTAGTAACACTCAGCTGATTACCTTCCCTAGTAGTAAGCAATTAAGATGGTCTCTAATAATCCCTCAATTGGAGAAACATCTGCACACATTTCACTGAACTGCATCTGGTTTTTATCTGTGAGCTGGAATTTTCCTCTTTCTGAAAGGGCAGGAAGTGGTCATGTTTTTTACATTAGTTGAAGTGGATTAAAAAAAAAAAAAAGAAACCAATCTCAAGCTTCCTAGAGCTTGGAATAGCATGGACTTGACAGGCACATGGAGGCAGGCACAGGCGCTGAGGGATTATGTGGGTACTGAAGAGGCACCTGGCCTGCTTTGCCTTCTTAGGGTCTTTCTGACTGAGTAGTTGGTTTGCTGATGCTTTTGGAGTCCATCTTAACAGCCAGCTAAGTGGTCCAGGGACATAGTCCTTTACAGCGATTTGAGTCGAAATTCCGTGTCAGAATATCAGCGGAGCTTATTACATTGAGAGGTAGGCTGGTTAATATCAAAGGAACCCTTTCAACATAGATGTGCCATTATTCTACAATACACACCAGAGCAGAGCCACTAAAAAGCAACGTTACGATTGTGTAGTCAGGGATTCAGTGGGTAACTGGATTTGGAAGCCTTTATTTCCTTTTATTATTTTTTCCACCAAAAGATAGTTAATGACTAAACAAGTATGTGCAAATAGATGAAGAAAAGTGGAGTGTTTTCTCGGGTGCTGCTAAAGACTTTGGACTTTTTTGTCTTCAGTGCAAAATACCATCCCTGCTACCCAGGCGTGCGCCCTGCCGTGAATTTGTCTCCTGGCTTCAGATGTGACGCCTGCCCAGTGGGCTTCACAGGGCCATGGTGCAGGGTGGTTGGGATCAGTTTTGCAAGTCAAACAAGCAGGTAGGGCGGTAAGTCATGGTTTCTATTCATTTCTCATCTTAACAGAACAACTGTGGTTGGTTCCCACCTCTTCAGTGTAACCCTTGACCTCCTTGAGCAGCCAAGGCCATGTGGAATGTCATGGTGCAAAATGAGCAAATCAGGAAGTTTTTCAACCATTTCTAAGTATTTACATTTATAAAACCTAGAAGGTAGGAAGCTTTTAAGATGGGATAATAGAGTATTACTGGAAAAACAGTAAAAGGGTAATATGGCTATTGTCATAATTTCAGGCTTATTTTTTTAATGGCCCGTTGAACATTTTGTCCTTGCAAGAATAAGTGAGAACCAGGGAAACAAAAAGCTTTGAAAAATTAGGTCATTTTATAGAGTCATTGTTGCCATTCCGAAGCTGTTTCAGAGATGAGGAGTTTTAAGAGTAGAAATAATCCCCAAGGCAACCTCCCTTTTTCTTATGTAAGCTATAAATTGCCATAAACGCACTTGAGTACTTCTTGACAGTCTCCATTTATTTCCAAATGTGTCCTACTATACTCCTGGCTCATTAATTTAACTGACCTGACTGTGAAATTCTTTTGAATGTTTTTAGCCCTTAAAAATAGTTGGTCTATAAAATATTTTACTAACTTTAGAGAAATATTCAGCTTTGCAAGAAGGGCAGGGGCTTATTATTTCCTAGCTGCCTATCAAAGCGCTTCGTAGAGACGGGCATGAATTTTTTAGACTAGAAAAAGGGAGGGACGCTAGACACTATAGGATAGTGACAAGAGGCTGGTGAGTCCTCTAAAGACGAAGTCTCTGAAGAAGCAAACTCAAGGAAATTAGAACAAAACTACAAAACTATAGGTATTTGGTGGTAAGGTAGTAAGGAACGCTTCTCAATAGACTTCCAGTAACATGGCAGACAGAACTGAAGTGGAAGGGAGCCACCTTGCTAAAATTTAACAGCAAATGTTACTGCATTCCAAAGTCAAAAGAAATAAAAGGAAATGACGCAGTGTCCAGAAACAAAGAGAAAACTCAAAGCCAGAACTGATGCCACAGCAGATCCTGGGAGGTGGGAGCCAGGTCCGGGTCCTAGGAACGGGGACCTGGCTTTTACCACCTGTGTGGAGTGGATGCAGCAACGGAGTCTGGGAACTTTGGAAAGGCCTAACACCCCCGCGTAAGTCCAGGACCCTCAAAGAACCACCCTATCCATTACAAGGAGACAGGAAAACTTGACTAGCCCTAAGAAACAATAAAGAAGCTTGACTTCAGCTTTAAGACATGCTTGACAAAAATGAAAATTACCCACAACAAATGTGGCACACATACAGTGTGGAACACATACAGTTATGAGTTCCAAATCTGTGTTATACATAAAATGCAGAAACACAAGCCAAAAAATTAAAATCATAACCAGCCATGAAAAGGTAAAATCCCCAGGGCCCTGTCTCAAGTCAAAGACACACCACTCTGTAAAGACACGCCAAAATTCAGGGCCAGTGGAATGCCCACAGGCAAAATCTGGGCTACTGAAGATATGCTCATAAACAAAAATGGCAGTTTATATAAAGAAACTACCATGAGGAAACATGATAAATATAAAGTAAATATAAAAAGGTAAAGAAATAAATACCATACTTAAAGAACAGGGCAATGTCCCATCTGAACAACATGGCAAAATCCCATCTCTACAAAAAATACACACAAAAAAATTAGCTGGGTGTGGTGGTGCGTGCCTGTGGTCCCAGCTGCCTTGGGAAGTTGAGGTGGGAGGATCACCTGAGTCTGGGAAGTCGAGGCTGCAGTGAGCTGTGATTGTGCCACTGCACTCCAGCCTGCGCAACGGAGCAAGACCCTGTCTCAACAACAACAAAAGTGTAGGGCGATGTGAGAAAAACATACAAGTTTGAAAAACAGCCAAATAAAACTTTTATCAGTGGAAAATCATTGACCTTAACTCAATAGATGGGCAAAACAGATTAGACACAGCTTCGCAGGGATTTCCTAGGCTAGGAGGTGAATTTAAAGAAATCATCTAGAACACAGCACAGAGAAATAAAGATATGAAGCATATAACAAGAGGTTAGGAGTCAAAAGAAGATATTAACGAGAAAGTCCAATATTCATCCAACTGTAGTTCCAAAGAAAGACTAGAAAGCAGTTGGGGGAAACTGAGAATGTTCCAGAATTGAAAAAAGCTAAGAATCCTCAGATAGGAGAACTACACTGAGTCCCAAGCAAGATAAAAAAAACTTTCCTAACCTAACAAGGTGGTGGAACAGATGAATTACACAAGTTGTCTTTTCTGAATAACTTTCAATGCCATGAAAGCAATTCTCATTTGCAATTAGATTAAGTACAAACTGGTACAAATGCAGGGAGATGGCACAAATAACCCTCAGATGACCATTCTACCTGAAATTCTGCATCTTCACACACAGATAGCAAAACAAAGGAGATTTATTTGCATTTCTATTTAAGCAGCATGTCTCGCTAAAGTTTCTTTGAACTTTTCTGCACTAGGTCTGCACTGACATTGATGAGTGTCGAAATGGAGCATGCGTTTCCAACTCGATCTGCATTAATACTTTGGTGAGTATTTCTCACAGCTGTTGTTATCAAAGTAGAACTGGCTATTAAAACAAGTGTATGTGTATAGACCATAGCTTCCAAACACACCTAGAACATGCGGGCATAATATATTTGATTGGCAGAATAAGGGCAAAAGTTTGTGCTAATGAAGTGTTCAATATGAGTAACTGTATAAGTAATTTTTATGTAAGAATACTTTTATAAGTGCCAAGTTTGTCCTTTATTTTCTACCAAAGTTGCAATATTAGGCCATTAGATAACTATTTATTGAATAAATTATTACTCCTGTATTTTAAAATTGTGAAGAGCTTGGTAGTTTATGTTAATAGCTCAGTGTTTTACTGGTGACTACACAATCCCCAAATGTCATTCTTTATTTTCATAAAACTTTTCAATCTCGAGGTCAGGAGTTCGAGACTAACCTGGCTAACACAGTGAAACCCTCTCTCTACTAAAAATACAAAAAAAAAAAATTAGCCAGGCCTGGTGGCAGGCGCCTGTAGTCCCAGCTACTCGGGAGGCTGAGGCGGGAGAATGGCGTGAACCTGGGAGGTGGAGCTTGCAGTGAGCCGAGATCGCGCCACTGCACTCCAGCCTGGGCGACAGAGTCTCAAAAACAAAAAAAAAACAGACTCAGTCTCAAAAAAAAAAATAAAAAAAAACTTTTCAAAACTTTTCATTGTATTAAATTGAAGTGCTTAGCACTTAGGGATGGCTATAACTTAAGTATTCAGATATGGGTTTTATTTCTGAAAGTTCCTATCAAACTATGTCCAAGGTAAAAGATGTACCAGAATAGACTATCAAGAAAAGAACTACTGATTACGTGTATGACTATTTGAAAGTTTTCCAACCTCTAGGTTCCTTGTTTCCTTGTAATTAAAAGCACTTTACATTTATCGAGTCACTTACTTTAATCCTCACAACCACCTCATAAACGGGTATTATTATTATCCACATTTTACAATTGAAGAAACTGAGGCACAGAAATATTACATCATTAAGTCCAGGCGTGGTGGAGCATTCCTATAGTCCCAACTCCTCAGGAGGCTGAAGCTGAAGGATCATTTTGGTCCAAGAGTAGTTTGAGGTTACAGTGAGCTGTGATCGGCACTGCACTCCAGTCTGGGTGAGAGAGGGAGACCCTGTCTCCAAAAAGAAAAAGAAGAAATGTTACGTATTTATACTAAGGTCACACATCTTAGAAGACTTCCAGGTTGGCTACAGAGCCTGAGTTCTTCTCCACAATGCTATATTGCTTAGGAATAGATGGGGATTTATTGCTTCTCAGCTTTTACCAGGACAAAGTAGTCTGCAAATAGATTTGCGAGATCTTGGTGTAAAGGTAATAACTGAGCCATCTAGAGAGAAGGAAAGTAGACAGTAAATAGAACTCCAGGAAACCCCAAAAATGAAGGACTAGGCCAAGGAAAAAGAGCAGAAGCCAGAAAAAGGAGCGAGTGGGCAGCATCGCCAGGGAGGCTGAGATTGAGACAGGTCATTGGAAAGCGTGCTTTGGATGTGGCAATTAAGAGGTTGTGAGTGACTTAAATCATTAAACTGCATACTTCAAATGGATGTCTTTTACGATCTATAAATTTTATGCCAATAAAACTGCATAAGATGAAAAATACAGCATGGTGACTTAGTTAATAATACCATGTTATATATATGAAATCTGCTAAGAGAGCAGATCTTAAGTGTTTTCACTGAAAAAGAAAAAAGGGGAAGGCAACTATGTGAGTTGATGGATGTGTTACTTAACTGACTAGTAATCATTTCACAATGTATATGTATATCACATCATCACACTGCACACTTTCAATATATTCAGTTTTGTCAATTTTACCTCAATAACAATGAAAATTTTAATTTTGATTTTTATATATTATATAATATGTATTACATATATTGTGTGCAGTGTGATTATATATATTTTATATATATTATATCTATAAAAGCTAAAAAAACCTGGCCCCTGAAGTGTCACTGCAGTGGAGCTGACAGCTTATTTGTCAGTTTCTCAGCCTGCCTCATCAGAAATTCTCAATGCAGGCCACCAGCATTTCTCTGTGCACCCATTCCTTTGTCATTCCATTGTAAAAGAGCCAAAGGAACAGCAAGAAGAAAAATTAACTTGCTTCTTAAGCAGATCATCTCCCTGTCCCCAGAGTAAGCTTCTCACACCACCTCCCAGGACTTCATTGGAACTTTTGGCCTCTCCCCTTATGCCCTCCACGGTGGCACGGGCAACTCAGTGTCTGGTTCTACTTCCCTCACTTCTATTCCTTGTTTGTCTGAGTGGCCGGACACAGCCTCCAGTCTGATGGTGTTTTCACCAACATTCACGCGATCTTACATGTAAGCAGAGAGGTAGGCAGGGGTCTGATGCCTGAATCCTGCCAGCAATAAGTACCTGTGAAAATAGACACAATAACCATACCTTTGCTCAAACTGTACCTTTGCTCACAGCTTTCAGCTCATCACCTGATCTTTGTTCCCTGCAGGGATCTTACCGCTGTGGGCCTTGCAAGCCAGGGTATACTGGTGATCAGATAAGAGGATGCAAAATGGAAAGAAACTGCAGAAACCCAGAGCTGAACCCTTGCAGTGTGAATGCCCAGTGCATTGAAGAGAGGCAGGGGGATGTGACATGTGTGGTAAGTTGTTTTTTGACTTCCTTTATCATTTTTCCTCTTCATTTTTGACTTCCTCTATCATTTTTCCTCCTTCATTTTTAACATCACCTCTCTCCAGTTTCTATGTGCTTCGGGGTAAAAGTACTTCAAAATGAAAGCATTGCAATCAAAATGAGCATGCAGTGTAATAGGAACAGGGTCCACTGAGTTTGTGGGGAGCAGCCTGACATCCATCTAACCATCAGCTGCCTTTTCTCTCCCTCTTGGCTGTGGGGCAACACTGTCTACTTGGGCACCTGAATGCCAGAGCCTCCAGTGAAGCCCCAGCTCCCAAGCACCTTCTGTGGAAAGGCCCAGAAGCCAGCAGCAGGGAGGTGAAGAAACATTCTTCTCCCCTTTCCTTCTTCTGCCCCGTCTACTTGCCTGTATAATGACAACATACCTGCTGTCATCTCTAATTGTCCTCATCATTACGACTTCCACAGTGTCTGCCTGGACGCTCCTGTTGGGGGTGGGCCGCCGTGGAGATGTGGGGGCTGTCATAGGCCCTCGGAGAGAAACCTCCCGTCTCCCGCAGGTGACTGGCAGGGGCCAGACGGTGCCATGCTCTATGTCTACCTCCACTCCAATCAGGGACAGCTCCGTGAATGGTCACGCCTCCTGTGCATTATCCAGCCCTGGAGCTGGTCTGGGGAGGGGAGACTGGGAAGAGAGTAGAGCAGTCACAGCAGGGCCTGACGTGGGTCTCATGCTGAGCTTGTAGTGGGCCCTACGTGAAGGAGAGGGTGCGCTCTGGCCATCCATTCCCAAATCCAAGGATCCAGAGTCCTCAGCCTGCCATCCATTCCCAAATCCAAGGATCCAAAGTCCTGGGGACCCTAGGCACTGAAAAATCAGCAGACTTCAGCTGCCCCCCTCCTCTGCACTTCCCGGGGTACCAGGCCTTCGGCAGGTGGCTTGTCAGACTCTGGATTCACTGGTTCACAATGATCAGCCCTGAGCAGCATGATGGATTCTTAGAGCCCTTTTCCATCTTCTTTGTCTCAAAGTTATGCTTCTTTATCTTTATGCATGCACAGTTTTCCACAATGAGCCTATCACTTTTCAAATCGGAAAAATAAGAGTCAAAAATGAGTTAAATAAATAAATATAATAAAGTCAGCCCTCCCTGGCAATACAGATATTCTGTAACAAGGTCAGATGGAGGAATGTGCTGTATCAGAGAGGGAATAACCCCAGCAAGTTCCTGAATTCCTCATGGTTGGGCTTGTTTATTACCAAAAAGCAGTCATTGAGAAGCAAGTATATATCTCTGTTGAAATCCCCATTTTCTGTGAACAAATTGACAACTCCCCTGGGATGGTGGGTGATGGGGCTCTTAATATGTTTTTGAATTTGTAATAAGGCACAACGACAGATGGTAAAGGATTAATAAACTTGGTGTGACTACGAAAATCATTGAATCTGCCAGAAAATGGCTCATTAAAAATGTATTTGTTCCTAGAGGACATTTTTTCCTCATTAAAGTGAGTCAAGGACCAACCTCATGGATCAACCTTCCAGGCCTTCCAAAGGCCCTGCTGGGGCGAGTGAGCAGGAACCAGGAGCCCGGTAGGGTCTCTCTGGAGTCCTGCCTCCTGCATCCTGGTTGCAGAGGGAGAGCACAGATGATTGAGAATAGGCAGGCTGCGGCTGAGGAAGTCACTGGTCTGGAAGCTCCTTATTTTGGGTGGTGAGGCCAGGAAATTTAACCTGTGCTCACATAAGTCTGATTTCCACTGGCCCAGACTCTGCTCCTCAGACTCTCTCCCTCCTCCCTCCTTTATCTCCCACCCCAGGTCAGCTTTCTGTCCCTCTGCATTTCCAGTTCCCTGTGACCTTCTGGGTCCCCTCCTCCCGTCTCCCTTCTGCTGCTCTGCCTGTTCTGGAAGCGGGAGTGGGAGGGAGAGTTTTCTCTCTACGTCTCCCTTTACATCTTTTGAATAGGGAACCATCACACTACTCAAGTGCAATTAAATAGTTTGTAAGCCCCACCCAACAAGGCTGAGTGACTCTGGGCCCTCCCCCTGGGAATGAGCAAAGGAGCAGAGAGGCCCTTGTCAGCCCCCAGCTCCCTGCCAGGCTCAGCTTCCCAGGCCTCTGATGGGCTTTCCCTTCACAGTGTGGAGTCGGTTGGGCTGGTGATGGCTATGTCTGTGGAAAGGATGTGGACATCGACAGTTACCCTGATGAAGAACTGCCATGCTCTGCCAGGAACTGTAAGAAGGTAAGGGGTGTTGGGGTGACAGTAGGCACATATGCACTGTGGCTTTCCAAAGTCACATCTTCTACGGGGAGAGGTTGTATGGATCTAATTTAGAATTGCACTTGTAAAGTAGCTGCATCTCAGATGAAGTGAAACAGTCACCAACAATAAAGCCACAGTGTGTTGAGGTCAGAAACAGTTACTAGCTTAACACAAATGTAGGATGTCATTCAGAACTGCGTTTTCCCCCTAAGGACAACTGCAAGTATGTGCCAAATTCTGGCCAAGAAGATGCAGACAGAGATGGCATCGGCGACGCTTGTGACGAGGATGCTGACGGAGACGGGATCCTGAATGAGCAGGTACCTGCTTTGCTGGGAGGGCCTGTGAATTGCCATGTACCAGGGATGATGGGAGAAAGCCTGTGAAGTCAACTGTGTATATGAATCATCCCAAATGTTAGTTTCCATGCCTGCATTCCACAGCACTGCAGCTTTTTACTCCTTAAGATTCACAAATGTTTGAAATATAAAACTGACAAACTTGGGCCACCAGAGTTCTGACGCTTCTTAACAATGGGGGAAGTGGATTTAGTAAAAGTCTGAGTGATGTTCTATCCTTTCGTCTTTTAGGATAACTGTGTCCTGATTCACAATGTGGACCAAAGGAACAGCGATAAAGATATCTTTGGAGATGCCTGTGATAACTGCCTGAGTGTCTTAAATAATGACCAGAAAGACACAGATGGGGATGGAAGAGGAGATGCCTGTGATGATGACATGGATGGAGATGGTAGATTTATCTTGCTTTTGTCTTTTATCTGGGATTTATCTGGGATTCAACTGACCTTGTTCCATTGTTCTCTCTCCAGAGTAGGAATAGAATGACTGATTGAGGGCCTTCCAGCTGTGGGTGGCTCACTGTGGCCTGCATCTGGAGGGCCCAAGGTGGACTTGTGTCTGTGGAAGGAGACTCCACAGTCCACTCCACTACTTAATGGCTCTGGATGTTTCCAGGACTCTGTATCATTGCCAGAAACTTTGTTAGGACCCCTTCAAGCAGTGTCTTATCAGGGTGTGTCTTTGTGGGCATCTCCCTTCCCATTTCTACCTCTCCTCACTCGCCACTAGACTTTCTACATGTGAGAGACCCAGAAGTGAAGAACTGAATGAGAAGGCATTGAGCAGCGTCACAGATTACACATCACAGGCTACACATCGCATTGTGGGCCCTTGAAGGAAAAACCTTTTCAAAATACCACCTGCCCCAACACACACACACACACACACACACACACACACACCCCACTCCAGAACATGCACACCCCCCTAAAATATGACCTCACCTTCTGCAAGCCTAACTGATGACCCATTTCCAGTGGTGTGCCGATAAACCACAGAAAGCCCTGGTTGGTAGCATTTGCCAGTTTCCATGAGGTAACTCCATACTGTCCTCATTGCTGATTTCAAGCTACCAATGTAACATCATCAAACACAAAACTGAAAAGAGAGAGGGACACAATGGACCCAGCTCCAACACAACACTGCCTAGAGCCCTAGGGTCTCAGTCATAGCTCAGATACCCATGAGATCCTCCCTCTCCAGGGTCAGCCCATACAGCCATCATGATCCCCTCCTCTGGTTGCTATCATAGCCTTTGACATCTTGGACAAATTAGAATTCAGTCGACAAATACCTCTGAGAGCTGTTCATTTTTAAGTCTCCCAGGATCCATCCTTTGAAGCTACCTCTGGATAACTGCTGAAAAGGCTAGTCCCTGTGTGACACTGGCCCAGGCAGAAGCGACTCACCATGTGCCTGATCTCTCCAGCACCTAGAAGTCAGTGACATCCCCCTGACTCAAGGTAGCATTTCTTTCTCACAGGAATAAAAAACATTCTGGACAACTGCCCAAGATTTCCCAATCGTGACCAACGGGACAAGGATGGTGATGGTGTGGGGGATGCCTGTGACAGTTGTCCTGATATCAGCAACCCTAACCAGGTTAGTAGGATACTGGGGAATTCAAACTCCAGGCTGAATTCCTCTATGCAAAGACTCATTTAAGACGGGTGTCTAGAAAAACAGCAGAGCCTCTTAGCTGTTGCCACTTACCTAACAAAGCAGAGGCGGAGAAAGGACACACTGTGGGCCTGAAGATGGTGGGATGAGCACCACACGAGAGCTGAAGCCCTAGGGACTATCTCCCAGGCTGTCGATTGCCTGTGAGGTTAGCAACACGAGCTTCATGATGCTCAATGCAAGTATTTCTCCTGCAGAAAGGAAAATGGAACATGGAAATTAACCATTGGGAGCCTTGTGTCCCTTTAGTCCCTAAACCCCTACACAGCCTATGTATGGACATTTCAGATTAAGTTCAGCCAGTGATGTGTTGCATCTCCCTTCTCACTCCTCCTTCCTGTCTGGATAATTGGGTATGATGTGTCATTTATTTTTAAAGCCCTGAGACAGGGGAGTCATGGTTGCCCTCTGTGACTCACTCACGATTTTGGCCAAATTTCAAATTGCAGAAGCAAAGCAAAATCAACTTGTCTTCTCCCCGTGCCTATGGCTGGCTCCCTCTGACCCATGCCGGAGTTCTATGCCTCCACCTGCCACCATGCTGCCCCAGCGCCCCTTTCCAATCAGCTCATCTGGTGTGTGGGCAGCCCATCCATGTAGCTTGATATTTTAGAAGGCTTTTTTGAAAATTCAGCATTGTGCCTACACCAATATGGTGTTGTCCTTTTGCAGTTTTGCACCACCCCAGTTCCAGAGAAATAATTCCCTAAATCCAATGATGATGGGTGAGGTCTGTCTTCTCTGGAACATTCTGTACATGCAGGCCCAGGAATAAATAACATGCGCTGTTCTCTTTGCAGTCTGATGTGGATAATGATCTGGTTGGGGACTCCTGTGACACCAATCAGGACAGGTATGGCATGTCTCCCAACTGCAGAGAGCCAGATGCAACATCCGGAGAGGGTTTTAAATTTCAAAACTTCCTGCCGCTCCATTCCTTGGGATCTCTCTGGGTTGACTGAGCTGCTGGTGGGATAATAGCCCTGCCTTTGGTCAGGATTACCATGAAAATTCTCCCTGAAAGTTCTGTATAGGGGATAACAGTGTCAGAATAGGGTACTAGGCACTCCAGCAAGTGAGATCTATTTCAGGAGAGGTAATATAGCATCATGCTTCACAGATGGGCTCTGGAATAAGACAGCTAGATATAAATCTCACCTCCTTCTCTTACATGCCAGCTAACTTTATACTAATACTTATTACCTAATACTTCTGTGCCTCAATTTTCTCATCTGTAAAATGAGGATGACAGTAGATCTAGCTCATAGGACCGTGGCGAAGATGGAGTTGATCCACGGAAAGTGCTTATTATGGCTTCTGTTACATACATAGCACTCAGTAGATATTAGCTCTTTTATTTTTATCATCTTTCAGCTCAGGAAAACTTCACCATCGTCCCAAAATAGAAGGCTGTCAGTTTGCTGAGGGATTGCTATTATTTTCTGGAAATTTCCTTGAAATTTTTAAAATTCCGTTTCCCTTACTTAAGTGGAATTGTTCTGTGGAAGTGAGTTTTGTCAACCCTCCTAGCTCAACACGATGGAGTCCTACATTAAGACTCAAGGCTGGATTAACTGATCAGATACTGGAAGAACATCACCAAAAACAGACGTGTGCCACTCAGCCCTAGAGGCACCTGCAACCCAAGGTTCTAAACCCTTTCATCTCCTTAGGGAAGTCTTACAAAGGCAGCTAGGGCAAGGATGAGAGGGAAAGGATTCTGAAAGACAAAGCAAAAAAAGAGGTAATTTCTCTCCTGATAACCTGGATCAGAGGTTGCCCTGTAGAAACCAGTTCTTGACCCAAACCTTACTCAAGGATAGCTCCTATGAAGCCACGTCTCTTTTTTTTTTTTTTGGAGATGGAGTCTTGCTCTGTCACCCAGGCTGGCGTGATCTCAGCTCACTGCAACCTCCACCTCCTGGGTTCAAGCAATTCTCGTGCCCCAGCCTCCTGAGTAACCGGGATTGCAGGTGTGTGCCACCATGCCTGGCTAATTTTTGTATTTTTAGTAGAGACACGGTTTCATCATGTGGGCCAGGCTGGTCTTGAACTCCTGGCCTTGAGTGATCCACCTGCCTCAGCCTCCCAAAGTGTGCATCTTTTTCATTATGCTGTGTGTCCTTGCTGCAAAGTACATATAGTCATCCCTCAGTATCCCAGGGTATTGGTCCCAGGACATCCCTCTGCCCCCAGGATACCAAAATCTTCAAATACTCAAGTGCTTTATATAAAATGATGTAGTATCTGCATATAACCTATACCTGTCCTCCCACATGCCTTAAAAATCCTCTCTAGATTATGTACTACCTAATACAATGTAAATGCTAGGTAAATAGTTATTATACTGCAATGGTTTCTTATTTGTCTTATTTTATGTTATTTTTTATTGTTCTTTTTCAAATCTTTTCAATCCTTAGTTGGTTGAATCTGCGGATATGGAACCGCGGATACAGAGGCCCGACTGTACTAGCTAAGTGAACTTAAACATTTTTCACAGTCTCTTGGCATCTCAGCTTCTTCACCTGCAAAGAGGAGATAAATAAACGCATCGCACAGGTTATGGCGAAAATTCAAGATAATGTAGATAAAGCTCCTGGCACAGCACTGGCCCAAGGGTGACATGCAGAAAGCAGGAGCCATGTTATTCTTGGTATCACAGTACAAGGAAAGGCACGTCAGCAACAGAGCCTGACGTCAGATGTCGCTCTCCTCTTCTGCAGGGAAGGTGGGACTGTATCCTGACAACTGCCCTAAATAATGTGCATCAAGAATGTTCCCTGGTGCAGGTCATCTTGCACTCTGACTACTATCTACATTAATTTCTAAAATATCCTATCCCACCAGCCTCTAGATATTTGCCCAAAACAAATGACTCATTCTGCTCTGCTTTAATTCCCACAAAGTTGAACCTTGGAGAAGAGGACAGGAACTGCTTGTTTTTGCATAAAAATGTTCAGGGCTCTATAGAACGGCTGCTAATGGAAATAGCTCAGTCTTGTGTTTTATAAAGCAGCCTGCTGCATGCATAGGGATTCTGCTGTTTGAGCCACATCATCTTCTGCTTGTCCAGGCTGGCTTCACTTTTGCTGGACTCTTTCTGTCCCCCTGTACCATCTGGAAAGTGTGGCCATAGAGCGTGGTCTGGTCCCTGGCTTCCCTCTCCAAGAGGGTGCAGGGGCAGCTCCTGGCCCAGGACAGGCTGCAGGTGGACCAGGGCCAAAGGACTACTAATTCTTTTCCAGAGTAACCATGAGCGGTCTCAGACTCCAGGACACCTCTTGGAGGCAGGGCAGACGCATCTTCAGGTGTCCTCTCAGCCCAGAAAGTCAGATGGACAGAGAAGGAGAGTTCTGAGAAGTCCTTTAGACCAGCACTGAGCCTGGCCTACATGCTCCCCTCAGGAAGGCATGGCCCTGTTCACTTAGCCCTTCTCCCCATGGCGTTCAGGTCTGAATCCTCATGGGATCCACTAGCCACGGATTGTGAAGAATAATATCCAGAAAACACTGCAGGGCTTCCTAAGAGTCAGTACTTTTTCATCTATTGAAATTTAATATGCAAAATCCTGATTTTCATCATTTAATCTTCGTAACAACCCTCTGAGGTGGGTACTATTTTCATTTTACAGATGAGGACCCTGAGCCATAGAGAGGTCAGGTGTCCTGCCTGAGGTCACATGCTGGCCAGTGCCTGAGCCAGGATTTACACTGGGCTGTCTGGTTCCACTGCCTATCACCCTGTTCCCCTCACACGTCCTCTGAGTTGAATATTATCTAGCAGTTCCCAGGGACTGATAGGAGCATCTGGTCACAAATCATAGAAATAGACCCTTATCTTCTTCAGTAGGAAATGACTCACTTGTTTCAAGAGGGCGAGGATGGGAAAAGCTGTCTCCGAGGCCCATAGGGCAGCCTTGTCTGAGGGAATGACCCCAGTGGGCTTGATTTTAAAAGCCATCCCTGGTTTAAAAATAAAACCTCAAGCACAGACTCTCCTTCCTAAGAATGGATCCTTCCTGTTCCCGGCTGAACTGTGAGCCACATCACCTGTCCTGTTTCCCGCAGTGATGGAGATGGGCACCAGGACAGCACAGACAACTGCCCCACCGTCATTAACAGTGCCCAGCTGGACACCGATAAGGATGGAATTGGTGATGAGTGTGATGATGATGATGACAATGATGGTATCCCAGACCTGGTGCCCCCTGGACCAGACAACTGCCGGCTGGTCCCCAACCCAGCCCAGGAGGATAGCAACAGTAAGCAGGCTCAGCCCAAAGCTGCGCAGCACCCCTGGGCTCCCTTCAGCCAGGCACGTGGGGGCACGCCTCTCTCCAGGCACCAACTCAGAACATCCCCAGCTCCCATTAGCTGCTTCTCCATACCCGGCCTCTCTGCATAGCTGCAGCTTGTGTGGACAGCAGATATCTGGTAGACACCAGTCTCCAACTAAGTCAGGACTGAGCTGCTTTGCATCTTCCTGAACAACCCTAGGATGCCATCACACAGGGAAGCAGCCACACACTGTGGCTCAGTTCCCAAAGGGCTTGGAGAGCTGCTCCCCCATCTTACCTGCCACCTTCCACTGGGAGTCCCAGAAAAGGAGCAGGATAGAGAGAATGGCACAGAAGTGGTATATGCCAGGTTCACAAACACAGATGCCTGTGGGGGCCAGGCAGATAAGAAAATGTCTGCACCAAGCCAGACATGAGACAGCAGGGAGTGTTGGGGACTGCGGTGACCTGGAGAGGGCCTGCCCGTCCACAGCAGTCCACATGCAAAAATGCCAGCATGTGAGCTGAACAACACACACGTGGGGGCCACATTCAGTCTAGGGGCCACCAGAAGTTAGTCTTAGATATATTCTGGTAACAATAATTTCCCTGTTTTCTACACATTACAGTCCAGAAAGTGCTGTAGACGTTTGCTTATGTGAGGTCAAGCTTAAGATCCACCAGTTGGTGAATCCAACTGTAGGTAATAAGAACTTTTATGGGGACAGAGTGGAGGGCAACTGTTCAAATTGATCTTTCTAAAAGCTCTGGGAGGACTGGCCTGGTCACCCAGTACAAGGACTCCAGGATGGGGCCTGGGACCAGCTCAGACATGACCCCAGGGCTCCTCTCCCCACACTAATGGGAAATCATGGCCCTGGTTGTGGGAGCTTGAGCCCTTCTATTCCTCATGCAGCCCCTTTCCCTGCCAAGGAGTGGCAGTGGGTGTGAGCGCTATTGAGCCCCTGTCCTTTTCCACCCCACTCAGGCGACGGAGTGGGAGACATCTGTGAGTCTGACTTTGACCAGGACCAGGTCATCGATCGGATCGATGTCTGCCCAGAGAACGCAGAGGTCACCCTGACCGACTTCAGGGCTTACCAGACCGTGGTCCTGGATCCTGAAGGGGATGCCCAGATCGATCCCAACTGGGTGGTCCTGAACCAGGTGAGTGTCACATGGGCAGCAACGGCTCAGCCTTGCCTCTCAACAGAGGCCCTTCTGATAGTGGTAGGTCACGTTTAGAGGGTGCAGACAATGAGCCAGGCATTCTTCACATCGCTCTTATTCCTCAACAGCCCTATGACAGACTACTTCAATTATGCCCATTTTACAGAGGAGGAAATTGTCTGCTACAGCTTTCATGATTGTAGCATCTTAATGATGGTAGCACTGTGGTAAGTAGCCGAGATGACTGCGGTTGGGACCCAGGCAGTCTGACCCTAGAACTGACACTTCTGATCTCTGCAGCAGACTGCCTTCTGCGTATCCTCCCCATTGTGTAACCAAGAAAGGCAAGAACAGAGAGGCTTAGTAGATTTTCCAGAGTCACAGAGCAAGTCACATTGATTAGAAGTATATGTTGTATGTTCCCCAGTTAAAGGCCTGTTCAATCAGCTTAAGTGACAGTCTCAGCAAACTTATTTCTATTCAGCTTTGAGCTTATTTTAACCTTCTTTACAAGCACATGCTTTCTTCGAGCACATAACACGATAGAGCAACTATTCAGATGATGAAGTCTTTATATGCAGGTCAGACATCACTGGCCACTCACTCGTGGTGCCTGAGGTTTTCAGCTTCCTCAGGGTTACTTGACCCCTTCAAGACTGTTCTGAACTCCCTCACCTCTCTCTGCAGGGCATGGAGATTGTGCAGACCATGAACAGTGATCCTGGCCTGGCAGTGGGTACGTCCAGGGCCTCAGTTGCCACCCGCATAGAATTCTTCCAGCTACTGGTGTGGTTTGTCTGTTGTTCTAATCTTATCTGGTCCTTACAGGGTACACGGCTTTTAATGGAGTTGACTTTGAAGGGACCTTCCATGTAAATACCCAGACAGATGATGACTATGCGGGCTTTATCTTTGGCTACCAAGATAGCTCCAGCTTCTACGTGGTCATGTGGAAGCAGACGGAGCAGACATATTGGCAAGCCACCCCGTTCCGAGCGGTTGCAGAACCTGGCATTCAGCTCAAGGTATTGGTGGTTTGAAGTCATTCATCACCCTTTCTTCTGGACCCTTCATCTTTTTCCAGATGTTGTGTTTTCCCATATGGTACTTAATCTAAAAAATGGATGCATTTATGCTAACGTTAGAGTCAGGGAAGACGACAGCTGACCCAGGGCCTTGCCTTCGTTCCTGTATACCAGCTACATTCTAACCTCTAATGGTGGGAATCCCAGCCTACGTGAGGTCAGAGAGAGGGGAGGTTTAGAGTACACCTTCAGGCACACCGTGTTGGAAACTGGCTAATCAGTTTCATCGATAGGTCCAACTTTGTACAGGAGGGCTCGTGGGCTACTTCTGTCACTCCTGCTAGGACACAAGGCTGACTTAAGTAGCCAGACGTTTGATGGGAGCCCTCATTGGGCAAATGTAGGGAGCAGTGGATTTGCAGCAGGAACAACATGGAATGTGCGGTGGAATACTGGGCAAGGCTTAGTAGTAAAAGGTTGGGGTCACCTCCATAGATATGACATTTAAGTGTTTATGCTTTGTTTCGAATCCAAGGCAGCCGGATGATAACCATGACTGTAACCTGGATCATCACTTCAGATCCAGGAAGTGGGAAGGGTGGTGCCTGGGTCCTGTCCTAAAACCTTGCTTGTGTCATCATCCAGGCTGTGAAGTCTAAGACAGGTCCAGGGGAGCATCTCCGGAACTCCCTGTGGCACACGGGGGACACCAGTGACCAGGTCAGGCTGCTGTGGAAGGACTCCAGGAACGTGGGCTGGAAGGACAAGGTGTCCTACCGCTGGTTCCTCCAGCACAGGCCCCAGGTGGGCTACATCAGGTAGGTGGAGGCCCCATCTCCTTACCTTGCCCTAGAAGCAAAGCACCCTCTGTTCTGCATCCCAGAGCCTTCACTTCCCTGAGCAGTTCTGACCTAGGATAGTCCCCAAGGACATGCCAGGACTTTTGTGACTGCAGGGTGGGGAACCTAGAAAAGAAGTGGGGGAGAAGGCACTCAGACTCAGACAGACCACCCGGACAGGACCGAAGGGCCAAGATGGGGAGAGAAGGAGCAGAGTTGAGGGGAGGACCCAGCGTTGTGGGGTTGGTGCATTTGGATGGCTGTGCCCTCCTGCCATGCTCTGAAGAGAAACCTGAGGGTGGACATGCCAATCAGTATGAGGTAAGAGGTGTGGCAGGGTCTCTTCTCCACACCCTCCCCTGTGGCACCTCTGGGCCCTGTGTAATCACTTACTAGTGCACGTTTCACCCTGACTGCACTATGCCCCTTACAGTCTGTCTTCCCTACTGGATCACAAACTGCATGAGAGCAGCACTGGTATCTTTTTTTTTTTTTTCAGACAGAATCTTACTCTGTTGCCAGATGGGAGTGCTGTGGTGTGATCTAGGCTCACTGCAACCTCTGCCTTCCTGGTTCAAGTGATTCTCCTGCCTCAGCCTCCCAAGTAGCTGGGATTATAGGCATGTGCCACCACACCCAGCTAATTTTTGTATTTTTAATAGCGATGGGGTTTCATCATGTTGGCCATCGTGATCCGCATGCCTCGGCCTCCCAAAGTGCTGGGATTACAGGCGTGGGCCACCGTGCCTGGCTGTATCTTATTTTATCTTGGTCTCCCCAGTGCCTAGCACAAAGTCTGGCATCTACTACACATGGCACGAACTAATCGTCATGTAAGCCAAAGTAGTCTGTCTTGTTTCTTTATAGGACTTTTTTTTTTTTTAGTATTCTCTCTTGGGAGTTAGGAGGCTTAGGGCTGTATCTTTGAAATGTAGATAGTGTTCTTCATTTGAACTTGCAGATCAGCACCCATCCTAGCCTATGTAGTATATTGAGGAAGGAGTACTGAGTGCATTCTCCTCCTCAGGGCAGGAAAACAGCCTCGTGGAAAAAAGAAAGTCATGAGGGCAAATCCATGTTTTGTTTCTCTTTGTGACATTATGTCAAATGTACTCTTTTTGTCTCACAGTAAGATGATCATGTTCTCAGCCCTATTAAGCCCAATGCCCCTTTTTTAATATTGTGAAATGCCCCCTTTTCCGTCCCAAAATGGAATCATAGAAATTACAACCTACCTACACATATAATCTAGAAAATCAGTCTGAGCCCTAACAATATAATAGAGAAATAAGAATAACTTATAACAAGATAATTTAAATACTTGAGCACAGCCACACCAGAAGACAAAATGAAATAGACACTTGCACCCATACCTAGAATCACTGTACAGGTGACACTCTAACACAGACTGCTGTGTCAGTGACTTAAATGTTACACTGGTGTTGATGACAGCAATGTCAATTTCTCAAATGGTGAACATTTTAGAATGTTAATTTTCAAACAAAGTACTCAGTAGTTTTCTCAATTTACCCTGGAAAATACAGTTTACATTAAAATGTGTGCAAAATATATTTGATGTTCACAAGTGAAAGGGAGTCAGGTTCTAGGCCCTGATAGTTGCTCTTTACCTACCCTGGTGTCTGAGGAACACTCCAGAAGTGTAGGAAATGCAGGACAGGTTTTGATTGTTCTCTCTAGGGCATTGCACGCCATCCAGCATCCCTGGCTGCCATCACTCAGTGCCCCTGTGACAACCCAAAGTGTCCCCGCAGATTCCTCCAACTCTACTTAGGGAGAGCTGAATCCTGTGGAGAATCAAAGCTCTGAGATTCCACCAAAAGAGAGAAATCAGACCAAAGGAAAAGCAGAAGTCTTTAAGCCTGGTATATAGACAAGGCGACTCACATGACAATGAAGACACAAAACTTTCTCACTCATGACATCAGGTTTGGTTTGATATTTAACTCAAGTTTGATAGTGTGCCCAACATCATGTTAAGCCTTGTGAGAGACAGAAGTTGGGAAGAAACACCCCCCCAGACATACACACACAGGGACACACAAACGGTCCCTGCCCTCAGGGACTTCTAGTCTAGTAAGTAAGGGGGAACAGCTACAGCATAATCCAGGTCAGCGAAAAATGGAGCCTAAAACAGAGTAAAGACACAGGTGTGTGTAAGAAGCGGGGCCCCTGGGCCTCACAGTGAGCACTTTACCGGGGTTGGATTTCATGGAGACCCCTCTGGTTGTGTTGTCCACAGGGTACGATTTTATGAAGGCTCCGAGTTGGTGGCTGACTCTGGAGTCACCATAGACACCACAATGCGTGGAGGCCGACTTGGCGTTTTCTGCTTCTCTCAAGAAAACATCATCTGGTCCAACCTCAAGTATCGCTGCAATGGTAACGTGCATTCTCATTACTGTTCAATATTGTTACTAGAATTAGTCAAATACTGCCACCTTATTTTTATACCGCACTTCCCCCCAAAAGCCCAAGGCTCATACCATGTAGCCATTAAAACCTGATAGTCCCTGTGTACCAGAAGTAAAAAGCAGATCGCATTTATCCTATTTTATGCATGTGGAAATTAAGACCCACAGAATTTGACTGCATGGTTTAGGGTTTGGGGTTCAGTGAGAAATCCAGTCAGATTTAATTTACAGGAAGCCTTTATTTTTTCATGTAGTTAAAACATAACCATAGATGCAAAACCCACTCTGCCTGCTGATTTTCTGTAGGGCCGGGAAGGAGCACTCCCGGGCTTTAAGCCAACGGTTTGCAAAGCAGCCTGCAGGAGAAGATGGCAGCGAGGGCCTGCGGGACCTCCTGGGCGGGCTAACAGCGCCCCCTACGGGACGCCTGCGCCGCGGGCGGGGGTCCGGGTGGAAGGAACCTCGCTAACCTCCCTGTGCGCATTCCTATTGCAGACACCATCCCTGAGGACTTCCAAGAGTTTCAAACCCAGAATTTCGACCGCTTGGATAATTGAACCAAGAGAGCAATCCGTAACTGCTTTTCGGAACACTAAAACCATATATTTTTTAACTTCCTTTAATTTTCTTTATATACACTGTGGCTTTCTTTTTACCAACCCAAATAAATCAAAATGTTTTATATGAATGTGGCAATAAAGGAGATCATTTTTAAAAACCGTGTTGCTCAGACATTGCTCTTGTGTGAGGGATCCCCGTTAACTTGCAGGGTGGTGGTTTCTTCTCAGACCCGGTAGCCGGTAAGATGAGCCTGTGCGTGAATCACAAGGTCCAGGCCAGAGGTCTCATCTGGGGTCCCCCCAGTTTGTTCCATACAAAACGCCTAACCGTTCCATGCTCACCTCGGCAGCTTCCTTATTTTGGCTAAGGGGTCTCGAGAAACACATGTTCGGGGGGCACCTTCCCTAGGAAGGTGTTTTTCTGACCTAGTCCTGGGATAGATTTGCCCAATTCTTTCTGATGCTCTCCACCCATCCCACACCTTCCAGACTTCCATTCTGGCCCCTTCAACGTCATTCTTAAGCTTATTTATATATTTGGCTCCCCCTAGTGGATTGTAAGCATATTGACAATAAAGGAGCATGTCATTACAATCAATATCCCCACAGTACCTGGAATGTAGTATATAGCCAATAAATGTTTGCTGAATAAACGAAGAATGAATGAATGAATGCCTCTTAAGTGAAAGGACAGTAGAGTGTATATGATCATAAAAGCCCTCCTCAACTCAAAAAGTCACAGCATATCCTCTATTTATGGTACCAGTAGCTGGATGTACAGGGCAGAAACTTGCCTAATTTGTACACTAGCCTTTCTTGTATCTCAGTTGTAAGTCAAAGATACAAGCAAATTTGTATAAATTCTCTAGAAATTTAGTTTCAAAGAATTTGCTGTGTGGTTATAAATTTTCTTATCCCAGAGTTCGTAGAGATATATTAAATCATTTATGAAGAAAAAACACCACAGTTTTACCATGACTAAGAGTGAGAAAATACAACGGTGCATGCATGAGACCTGGAGGATTTCTGGACATCCTCCTCTCGTGTACAGACTGGAGATGTGTGTTGCCTTGTAATCCAGGACATCTGATCTCCTGCATCAAAAACTCCAATGGGGCTGCGTGTGGTGGTGCTTGCCTGTGGTCCCTAGCACTTTGGGAGGTCAAGGCAGGCAGATCACCTGAGGCCATGAGTTCAAGACCAGCCTGGCCAACATGGCGAAACCTGTCTCTACTAAAAATACAAAAATTAGCCGGTTGTGGTGCCACTTGCCTGTAGTCCCAGCTATTTGGGAGGCTGAGGTGGGAGAATCGCTTGAGCCCGGGAGGCAGAGGCTGCAGTGAGCTGAGATGGTACCACTGTACTCCAGCCTGGGCAACAAGAGTGAGTGTCCTATGGCTCCTATATTCTCCCTGAGGCTGGTGGAAGGAGGAGGCAACCCACGCCATGCCCACCCCTCGGGCAGCCTCCCTGCTGTCAGCTGTGCAAGCCCCAAGAACACAGTATGTCCACAGGAAACAGACTCTCTTGGTTAAATCTTTTGTGTCTATAATTGTTTTAGAAACCATGGGCCCACAGGAGATCTAGAACATAATTTCATCCCTTAGGGAGCTTATTTCATTTTTGGGAAGACAAAACTTTTTATGCAAAACAAGAAACAAAGATGCATGTAGATCCAGCAGTGTGCTGAAGCCAGCTCCTACCAGCTCATGAGAGCCAATTATTCAAGTTTTAGGAATATTGTGAGCCAGTTAAACTGTTGGTAGTTTCAAATTGGCCATGGTGGGAGTATTTACACAGAAACTGGCAAACACTACAAATCAGGGCTCCAGAGAACTGGTGGTTAAACATTTATCAGCACACAAGTGATTATTCTACCTTATCCTATTCCTAGTTGGCCCTCCTTATTTTTTTTGAAGCTGATATAGAAAACGTGAGGCTTTCAGAAAATACCTTGCATAAGAAATGAAGTAAGAAAAGTGAAAATGGACAGGGTGCTGTGGCTCACACCTGTAATCCCAGCACTTTGGGAGGCCTAGGCGGGAGGATCACTTGAGGTCAGGAGTTTGGGACCAGCCTGGCCAACATAGTAAAACCCCGTCTCTACTAAAAATACAAAAATTAGGCCAGGTGCAGTGGCTTATGCCTGTAATCCCAGCTCCTCAGGGGGCTGAGGCACAAGAGTCTCTTGAACCCAGGAGGCAGAGGTTACAGTGAGCTGAGATCATGCCACTGCCCTCCAGCCTGGGCGACAGAACAAGACCTGTCTGAAGGGAAAAAAAAAAAAAAAAAGTAAAAATCAGGAAGCACTCGAGAGAAACTAGCCAATTGGAGACTTAGAGGGTGAGTTAGCAGGTGTGGCATGCTCTCCCCCTCTCCCCCCAGTAACTCCCTGGGCTTTTTGAATACTTGTTATACTCAACCTTAGCACAATGACTCAAATTCCTATTACAGTTCCATTAGGTTAGTAAGAGCCTCATTTGAATCTTACACCTCTAGGACTGAGTGGCCATCAGTCTCTCACCAACTAGTATGAATTCATTCCAATGCCCATTCACCTCCTGACTTCTCATGGAGATCGAGAAGACTGAGGAGTTGGGCATGGTGGTGTATGCCTGTGGTCCTAGCTACCTGGGAGGCTGAATGGGAGGATCACTTGAGCCCAGGAGTTCAAGTCCAGCATGGGCAACATAGCAAGATCCTGTCTCTCTCTCCAAACACTGTGCTCTTGCTTTTTTTTTTTTTTTTTTTAAGTACTAGGGGAATGGGAGGCATGACTGGGAAAGAAAAGAGGCATTGTCACTGTGGGGAAAAGACCATGGCTGAGTAGAATCCCATGGGAAGTGTGGGAGATCTCTGGGGGCAGGATGAGGACACTAGGGGCAGCCAGAGGAGGCCTGGGGGCATGGGAGCAGGTGCACAAAGGGAGGTGCAGCCCTTTTTGCCTACACCCAAGAAAAAGGAAAAAAAAAAAAAAAAAGCTCTTCCTTCTCCCCATCCAGGTTGTCAGTCCTAGGCTCCAGAAGTATTATGGTGATTATCCTTAAGTTAATTTTGGAGACAGCCTATAGAGTTAAAGAGAATGAGGAGGATATCGAATCCAGCCACCTTCTACTGAAATATTTGTAGGCATTTTTTATGGCCTAGGCTAGAAGACAACTGGGAACAGACTCAAGCAGCACAAAAGAATCTGGTCCAGAAGCGAGGCTGTGGGAAAAATAGATAATGCACAGCATGAATCTAGGGGTGAGAGGTGGGGTACCCCTGCTTGGGATACACGCCTGGGGTCCCCAGTAACATCGGGACTGTAAAGGGTGGCTCAACCTTTCAGTGGCATGAAGAAACCCCCTGCAGTGTCCACAGCTCCGCATCTTACAGCCCCACCCAATTTGGTCATAGGCAACCTCAGGTGACAGACACTCACCCCAAATTCCCTGGGGCAGTATAGTTTCCACAGTGGGTGAGGGTGTTTTATTCCAGAGAAATAATTCTAGTACTTTAGAATTAAGTACAGAGATGCTGAAGTCAATTGGACCCATCATCCCAATATTTTTGTGTGGTGTTGGGGAATTATGTTTGAGTATGTGGCAACACACTTGAAATATCTAAGAGAATTTGGCATAATTAGAGAATGCAATAAATTGAACTTGTGATTCCAGTTTAAAATACAGACAGATGCTCCTCACCTTAAAATGGGGTTTTGTCCTAATAAATCCGTCAGTTGAACATATCTTAAGTCCAAAGTACATTTAGTACTCCAATAAAGCCAAGTCAAAAGTTTAAGTCATCCATCATTAAGTCCAGATACTCCTCAATTTAAATAGGGTTATGTTTTGATAAAAATCGTAAGTCAAACCATCATTAGTTGGGAGTTGTTTATAGCTGAATATCTGGTTTATCGTCATTATTATTATTATTATTATAGAGACAGGATCTCACTGTTGCTCAGGCTGCAGTGCAGTGGTGCAGTCTTGGCTCACTGCAGCCTCAACCTCCTGGGCTCAAGTAGTCCTCCCACCTCAGCCTTCCGAGAAGCTAAGACTACAGGCACGTGCCACCATACCCGCCTAATTTTTTGTATTTTTTTTGTAAAGATGGGGTCTTACTGTGTTGCCCAGGCTGGTCTCAAACTCCTGGGCACAAATGATCCTCCTGCCTTGGCCTCGCAAAGAGAGTATTTGATTTTAGACTTGTGATTTTTAAGTCAGAAGGTAGGAGAATGTGGTTAAATATGCAAATATTGAGGTGATTAAGATAATTTCTCATCCATTATATAAATTTTTTAAATTTACAAATTATATAAGCACATAGGTAGTTTTCATCAAATGACAAAAAAATAAATTCATAAATGAAATTTAAATATATTTTTAATGTTACAAATTAGCATAGTATATTATGTCATAAATTAATATATTACATTTATAAATGGGATTTAGAGTGTTTAAGGAAATTTAATTAACTAAGTTTGCAAATGGGACTAACCAATAATCAAAGGCTTAAAAGTGATTATATATTTTGCTATAGAGTAATAAGTAGATTTGCATATTTATAGAATATAGTAAAGTAATACGATTTTTAAGTTGAATTTTTTAACTTAAGGTTTTGTAATTTGTAACTTTAATAGAATATTAATTTTAAAACCAAAGTCACCATAAATTGTGTTTTCTGTAAAAGACAACCTTTCCTTCGGGCATAAGGAAAGCCTCCTGCAAGCTCCACATTTTACCACCTCACCCAAATCACTGGTTAACAAACAACCTCAGTCAATTGACACGCACCCCAAATTTCCTGAGGCAGTAGAGCTTCCTTAGTGGAGAAGGGTCTTTTATTCCTGAGAAATAGTTCTACAATTGCAGAACTAAGTACAGAGATGCTGAAGCCAATTGGACCCATCATCCTAATATTTTTGTGTGGTGCTTGGGAATTATGTTTGAATATGTGGCAAAGTACTGGAAATATCTAAGGGAATTTGGCATAGAGAATGCAATAAATTCAACATGGGATTCTAGTTTAAAATGCATACAGATGCTCCTTGACTTACCATGTAGTTACATCCTTGGATAAACCCACGGCAAGTCAGAAATATCATAAGTAAAAATGCATTTAATATCTTGATAAGTCCATCATAAAGTCAAAAAAATCTTAAGTCAAACCATTA